TTCAACAACTTAGCGCATCCATTTGGGTCAAAATCTCGACCTCCGTTGCTTATCACTCTCGATACACCGCATTCTACCGCCCATTTTAGAGCATCATTTATGTATAAAGCTTCCATTTTTTCAAAAATTGTGTTAACCACCCCTAGCACAAGGTGCAATTTTGGCGGTGGAAATATATCGATGATCAATGTATCAGTAGGGGCAACTAAATTATGCGTTTGACAACTCCAAATTATGCGCAGGAATTGTGCCATTTTATGCGGCAATTATGCGGGCAAAATTGGGAAAATATGCGCCAATTATGCGGGCAAAAATAAGAAATTATGCAAAATTATTCGGGCAGAAATCAATAAATAAGCGAAAATTATGTGTACTTTTTTATAGATTTGGAAGGAAATAGTGAGTTAAGAAAGCATCATTTTTATAGATTTGGAAGGAAATAGTGAGTTAAGAAAGCATCATTTTTTTTATTAAAATCTGAATAGCCAACTGCAGGTCACACACGTTAATAAAACAAGTGAGTGATAGTTAAACGAAGTAGTATTTTATTTTCCATAAAGTATTGTAACGTTTTTAACTGTTCGTAGTGTGAATTAAAACACGCACTGGTTAATTAACGAACTACCTAAACTATTTATTTAATAACTTAACTACACTTAAAACACTATAAAACTAACTAAACACTTAACTACTAATTATTTATATCACTACTAGTTTATTTATTTGCACTTATATTTATTTATTTCTTCGCGCGTACCAAAGCTCAACTGCCTGGTCTGTGATGCTCCGTTTCTTATATATTCAGCGCCAAGGTCTTCTGGAACATTCCAGCGAGCTCCACACTCGATTGTTCGAGCGCTGAGTCGCCGGCGATGACTCACCGGCGATGACTCATCGGCGATGAGTCATCACTCCGATATCCAGAGCGATACTCGCTACATTGCCCCCGTCTTAAAACATTTTCGTCCCGAAAATGGTCCTCAGCTCCATGGCGATATTTGCATAGAGATCCAAACTTGCAGTGTGACGTCCTATAGAAGTAGCAGTCTACGGTCTTTCTTCCGGTTGTTCTTTTAGGGCTGTGGCAACAGACAAGAATGTGTATGCCACTAAATCTAAAGATAACTTCCACCATACTTCTAATTATTCTCCAGTCCAAACCGTCAAGTCCACAAGCAATCTTTGGTATCGCCAGGTTCATGATGTCCTTGGACAAAAGGGTATCCCTTAATTTATTTAAGACATTCCATACGTCACGGTAGTTTGGCTTCTGATGAGAGAGCTGCTTCGTTACCAGATAGAAAATACTTCTGTTGCCTTTCTGCTCATTATTCACAATTTCAAGCACCTCTCCAACTTTGGGATTCTGCCTTCGTAGCTCTTCGACCCGTCCAAACTTGTTTTTAAAGACAACCGCCATTCCCCTGGACATCCTTAGGTCTTCTGCAACACAGTGAGCCAAGGAGTAATCGGCCGAAACCGTAAACAGATCTTTTTGTTCTTCTCGAGTGACACCATACCGAGCTTTTTTACCGCTCGAATATAAATACATGAAGTCTTCAAAAAGCAACTCGTCTTCCGGAGGATTAACTCGCCTTACTCTAGCATGGTTCATTTGGTCATCATTGTTTCCAGCGTAAGGAGCCAATCGGTTAAAATGGATCACTTTCGGCTTTCCTCTTGGTTGTTTTCTGATCCTGTAGATGATGTCATTTATTCGATCCATGACTTCGTATGGTCCTTCCCAAGAAGTCTGCAGCTTCGGTGAATAACCACGACGGCGTTGAGGGTTGTATAACCAAACTAGGTCTCCAGGTTGAAATCCTCCATTTTCCGCCTTGATGTCGTATGCCTCTTTCATTCTATCACTGGCACTCTGGATGTTTAAACGAACTCGGCTGTGAATGTCGCTCATTTTCCTACGTAAATTGTTGACGTAATCCTCTCCAGCAATATCATCCCCTGGTAGGCAACCAAATCTCAGGTCACAAGGTAGACGAAGTTCACGTCCCATAACAATGCTAGCGGGTGTCTGGCCGGTTGCATCGTGGATAGAAGAACGGTACGCCAACAGGAACAGATGAAGAAAGCGGTCCCAGTCTCTTTGGTGATCAGAGACTACCTTGGACAGGTACCGGTTTATCGTTCGATTCATTCGTTCTACCATTCCATCGGACTGCGGATGTAATGCAGTCGTCCTCGTCGTCCGAATGTTAAGAATCTTACAGACATTCTGGAACAATATAGATTCAAAGTTCCTGCCTTGGTCTGAATGCATCTCCATTGGCACACCAAAACGACAAATCCACTCCTTAATAAGGGCATCGGCCACTGTGGCAGCTTCCTGGTTTGGCAAGGCGTACGCTTCCGCCCACTTGCTGAAGTAGTCCATTACAACGATGATGTATTTATTTCCAGATTCTGTTTCCGGAAATGGACCCGCCACGTCGATTGCAATTCTCTCAAATGGGCTGCCCACATTGTACTGTCGCATTGGGGCTTTTGGGCGCTTCTGGGGTCCATTGCTTGCCGCGCAAACGGCGCACTTCTTGCACAATTCCTTCACATCCCGTTGGCTGTTGACCCAATAAAACCGTTCCCTAAGTCTGCCGAGCGTCCTGGTCACCCCAAGATGTCCTCCAGTAGTTCCATCATGGATTTCCTGCAGCACTTCTGGTATCCTGTTTCTGGGGATTATTATCTGCTTCCGGTCTTCCCCCCCTTCTGGCATCTCCAAAACGCGCTTTAGAAGCCCGTCACTTAGGATGATGGAATTCCATTGGGCCCAGTACGATTTCACATTCTCTTTCTTCCAGCTCCCGCTTAAGGTCCGCCACTTTTAAGTCCATTAATGAAACCATTTTTACGAAAATTCACACTAACCCCACATCTGACACCAATGTAACGTTTTTAACTGTTCGTAGTGTGAATTAAAACACGCACTGGTTAATTAACGAACTAAACTATTTATTTAATAACTTAACTACACTTAAAACACTATAAAACTAACTAAACACTTAACTACTAATTATTTATATCACTACTAGTTTATTTATTTGCACTTATATTTATTTATTTCTTCGCGCGTACCAAAGCTCAACTGCCTGGTCTGTGATGCTCCGTTTCTTATATATTCAGCGCCAAGGTCTTCTGGAACATTCCAGCGAGCTCCACACTCTCGATTGTTCGAGCGCTGAGTCACCGGCGATGACTCACCGGCGATGACTCACCGGCGATGACTCATCGGCGATGAGTCATCACTCCGATATCCAGAGCGGTACTCGCTACAGTATTTTGTAAAAGAGCAGACTAGTCAAATCTTTAAAAGTCAACATAAACATAAATTATGTTACATACATAACATAGATAAGTTATCTAAGATAACAATTACAACATTAGTAATGTTAGATTATAGTCACAATTGCACATCATTGCCTCATTTTTATCCTTTGTAAGAGTAGTCCTCCTGGAGGAAAATATGTCTCCATAAGCACTAAAGCCTCTCTCAGTGTCCACATTTGAAACAGATACATGTAACACTTGCACACAGGGTATCACAAAATTTACATATTCCCTAATCATAGAAATTAATGCACAAAGCACCAGATCCTCTTTCTTACCTTTTTTAGATTTATCTTTAGAATTTTCTTTGACTGCATCTGCCAAAATATAGTGTAACACTACAAAATTTGATGAAGGAATGGAAAACAATAGACTTATTTTTTATTTTGCTGCAATAACACTTTCAGCTGAAAGAGCTGCTGAAAGAGGAGCAGTCAACAAGAGTCAAACAAAAAACGAAAGGACTCAAAGAAGTCCTTCGCAGTATCCTTCTGCAACATTTTTTTCAGTAAGTCACAGCAGGAGGTGCAAACATCTTTCATTCTTTGCAGAAAATGTTTCTGTTTCTCCCCAGGTACCTCATTAAGACTAGTTTTGGATTTTTCGAAACTCCGGCGTGGCGGAATTAATGTACTGGGCATTAAAAGTGATTTTGGCCGAATGGAAACCAGAAAACGCGTAAATTATGCGACAATATGTGATATTAGCGCATAATATGCGGAAATGCAATATGCGGTGACCGACATCGAATTATGCGAAATTATGCGGACTGGAAATGATGCATACTGGACTCATAACATACCAAAGTGTTCAAAAATTGATAATATCTGCACTTTTGAAAAAATATGCGATTATGCGCCCGCATAATATGGTTGCCCCTATGTATCAGTGTTTTCTTTGATTATTGTCATGTTAGACTGCCTGCACAAAATGATTAGTTATTATATGACGTCATTTCATGTGTATTGGCTTCATTTACTGTTTGTTTACATCTAGTTGAGAACGATTGTATTATTACGTAAATACGAGAGAAATTTTAAAATATTTTAGGTAGTCTTTCTTGAACGAAAATTAGTATACTTTGTAGTTATGTTAGCTATTTCGCAGCATTCAAAGAACAGTAATATTTATATTGCAGTCCAAAAAACATACATATGGTGTGTGTGTGTATACACAGTTATTTATTTAAATTATTTTTTATTAACATTTAAATATCATTTTAAAAAAATCGTAATTTGGTTAAAAAAAAAGAAACGGGCTGTTTTGCGATTTTGATTTTCCGATATTTTGACTTCTAATAACACAATAAAACATACTCCGCAAGAAAATTTAGAGTTACTTTTAACTTGCATTTAAATTACTTAGGGAATTTCATTGCTTAAAAAAACAATCCCTAATTAGGTGGCGCTGTTTACTTTCGTAGAGAAATTATTGAAAAAAATTGAACACAAAATTAAAACTTTGACACTCTATATCTTGGCTATCAACTTTTGGATGAGGCAAGTTTGAATAAATCGAATTATTGATCTGTGTCCCATTACTTTTAGACCACCCTATAGATGGTTTTAATTTTGCAAGGTATAAAATGTTAAAAAATTAAAACAATAAAAAGGCTTATAATTACAAATGCAGATATACAATAAATAAATATACACATAATTTAAATATTAATTAATATTATTCAAAAGACATTAGATTGCTTGGTAAGGGGGGTTGTTCACCATTTGCTGCCTGTTGTAGGTACTTGCACCATCTTTCAGCTAATGTTTTTGTTCCAGTACGGAATTTATACACATTACCTAAAAAATAAAATTCTATGTATACTGTATATTGTGGAACTAAACATTTGTAATGAATAAGGAAAATATCACACTACTGACCAACATTTTTTTAGCAAAAGGGTTGGATAGCAGGTAAACAATAATGCTGACCACTACACATTATAGGCCATATAATATACAAGGTGTCCCTAAACTTAGTGGCATAAATTTAGGAGCAGATTAAGCTAGTCAAACTAAGACGAAAATCTAAATAAATATTTTTCCTAATTACGTATGTTTAAAAGATACCGGGTGATAAATTGTTACTTATCATATCATTTTTTTTTAATATCACCTTTCCAAGAATACCATACTAGAAGTTATAATAAAAAAACTGATATGATAAGTAACACTTTCTCACCCTGTATCTTGGAAACATAAGTAATTAGGAAAAATATTTATTTAGGTTTTTATCTTATTTTGACTTGCTCAATCTTTTCCTAAATTTATGCCAATAAGTTTAGGGACACCTTGTATACAGGGTGTTCCGAAATTAGGGGGCCAAACTTAAACAGTGCATTCTTTATAGAAAAATAACACTTTTTTGTTTATTAAACATATATCAAAAAATGCCCCCTAACGGAGCTACGCCCCCCTAAATAGGAGCTTAAGAGCATCATTTTTTTAAAACTATTCCTAGAGGGTTGAACATGAAGACCTGAATTTTTGGGACTTTGGTAATTTTGACATTCTGAATCTGGATCTATAATCAAAACTGTTAAAATTTAATCATAGGCGTAATTTGAGGGGGCAAATTTACAAAAACAGCCCCAACTTTTTGCAGAGTAAGTATTTTAATGTTTTGTTATAAAATTATGAAAATGTATAATTTTTCACGAAAAATAGGTACTCTTGCTTTGAATCGCTCAGATGCACCATTTTCGAGAAAATTACAATTTAAATTATTATGCTTAGCATAATTTCTAATATTTTCATTAAAAAGCTTTGGGACAATAGTGACGTTTGGGTTATTTGCTGACGTTTGAGTTATTTGCTGACGTTTGGGTTATTTGCTGATATTTTTTGGCTCGATTTTTGTTATTTTTTATTATGGAGCGGTTTACCAAATTTTAACACAAAATTTTAAAGAAAATATGAGATGTGTATGCTATGCAGAGTAATTTATAAATGCATTTTTCTCGAAAATGGTGCATCTGAGCGATTCAAATCAAGACTACCTATTTTTCGTAAAAAACTATAAGTTTTCATAATTTCATAAAAAAAATTAAAATATTATCTCGGCAAAAAATTGGGGCTATTTTTATAACTTCCCCCCCCCCAAATGTTACGCCTATGATTAAATTTTAACAGTTTTGATCTTAGATCTTGATTCAGCATCTAAAAATGACCAAAGTGCCAAAATTTCATTTCTTCATGTTTAACGCTCTAGGAATAGTTTACAAAACTATTCTCTTAGGCTCCTATTCGGGGGGCCGTAGCTCCTTTAGGGGGCATTTTTTGATACATGTTTATTTAACAAAAAAGTGTTACTTTTCTATGAAGAATGCACTGTTTAAGTTTGGCCCCCTAATTTCGGGACACCCTGTATATGGTAGAAATTAACGTTTACCTAGATTCAGACAACGTTGTCAATTTGTATAAAAAATTGTTATACTCGTAACGTTGTTTGAGTGTATGATTTTAAGTGGGAAATACGTAGGTAAAACGTTGCATGAAAACGTTTTTTGAATGTATGATTTTAAGTAGGAAATACGTAGTTAAAACGTTGTCTTGGAGAATTGTATTGCTTGAAACGTTGTAACAACGTTCCAAAACCCACATTTAGCAAGTGCCGTCGACAAATTTTTTAATGTGATTTTTTTTTAAGTTTTTATCCTTTGTAACATTAGTTATAAAAGTAAAATCAAACTATGCAATACAATTTTTAAAGTCATAATATCAAAAATACGACCGAAATATACAAAACTCACTTTCAAACTACGTTGTAAAATTGTATGTTAGAAACGTTGTAACAACGTTCCAAAACTACATTTAGCAACTTAAAATTATTTTACGTCCCGTCGAGAAAATTTGTAATGTGGATTTTTTTTTAAATTTTTATCCTTTATAACATTAGTTATAAAAGTAAAATCAAACTCTGCAATACATTTTTGAAAGTCATAGTTTTAAAAATAAGGCCGAAATACACAAAACCCACTTTTAAACTACGTTGTAAAATTGTATGCTAGAAACGTTGCAACAACGTTCCAAAACCACATTTAGCAACATAAAATTATTATAAGTTCCGTCGAGAAATTTTTTAATGTGAATTTTTTTTAAATTTTTAGTCTTTGTAACATTAGTTATAAAAGGGTCATTCCACGTTACTCGGGGATTTTTTTCCCACCCGTCAAATTAAAAATTGTGAGTAAAAACTACAAGTTATAAAATTTATTTAAAAATATTGTTTTATTATGCTTTTAATAAGTTATAAGCACAATAAAGATAATATTATAAAATATTAAACGGGACAAAAATTACCGAGTAACGTGGAATGCCCCAAAAGTAAAATCAAACTATGCAATACAATTTTTAAAGTCATAGTTTAAAAAATAAGGCCGAAATACACAAAACCTACTTTTAGATACATAAAATTATAAGTCCCGTCGAGAAATTTTTTAATGTGATTTTTTTTTAAATTTTTTATCCTTTGTAACATTAGTTATAAAAGTAAAATCAAACTCTGCAATACATTTTGGAAAGTCATAGTTTCAAAAATAAGGCCGAAATACACAAAACCCACTTTCAAACTACGTTGTAAAATTGTATGCTAAAAACGTTGTAACAACGTTCCAAAACGCACATTTAGCAACTTAAAATTATTTTAAGTTCCGTCGAGAAATTTTTTAATTTGGATTTTTTTTAAATTTTTAGTCTTTGTAACATTAGTTATAAAAGTAAAATCAAAGTATGCAATACAATTTTTAAAGTCATAGTTTAAAAAATAAAGCCGAAATACACAAAACCTACTTTCAAACTACGTTGTAAAATTGTATGCTGGAAACGTTGTAACAACGTTCCAAAACCTACATTTAGCAACTTAAAATTATTATATTTTTGAAACTATGACTTTAAAAATTGTATTGCATAGTTTGATTTTACTTTTATACCCTATCTATCGGGCGCTACCGGATGCGTTCATGAAAAAGGTAGGCAACCTAGCTGTTACATATTCTGTATAATAATAATAAGCAAGTCGGTGAAATTTAAAAAATACATTATTTTTTTAATTTTTTATTTGTTATAGCCATGATCATATTTTTTATGGCAACCCTATTGGTTTATGTTCAGAAACATATTTTATTTGATAAAATATAATTTTCATCTGGTAAGCAGATGAGTGAAGGTCGACCTTACTTGGGATCCTCTACTATATGAAATGTCGGAAGATATAAACTTTGATGATCAAAGCTTCAAAGAAATAAATGACTGGTACGAGTTGTAATTTAACGACCATACCGACCCTGGAGAAGTGCCTGAAGTTACTGAAGAGGAATATTATCATGTACTAAATACCGGCAAAAATACAGATAGCACAAGAGGTACCCAGGACGTCCATTTCGGGTCCCACATAGGTCCGAACTTCCTAGACCTATATCGGAAGTTTTGGGTACGTCCAGTCTCTTACTTATTTGGGAAAATTATAGCGGATATACTGGGTACGTCCCAAGGACGTAATTGAAGCATTGTATTTCCAAAGGGTCTAAGTGCCAAGTTGGTTAAATAATATATTATCATTTAAAAATAGTTTGTGTCATGCAGAATGACTTAATAGTATATTCTGTTACAGAATTTCTGTAACAAGTTTGGAATACAGCATATCCGCTCGAGTGAAGAGTTTGTCACACGAGCCGAAGGCGAGTTTGACGGTTTCAGGAGAGCGGAATATGCAATTCCAAACGTGTTTCAGACGTTTCAACATTTACATGTGCAAAATATTTGTTTTTCATTGATAACTCACAATTTTATTTTTGTAACTTAGACCCCCCAGACAGCATCCAATTCAGAAAGATTTCTATACGAAGTCTGTTGAAAAACATCTTACTGAGGTCACAATATGACATCTTAGAGAAATCATTTTTAGGAGCTCAAGATTAAGAGTTCTTGATGAATTCATAAATAAGAAGTAAATTTTTTTAACATCTTAAAGTATCTTTTTTTCTGACCTCTTATTGGAATTAAAATTAGAAGCTACTAAGGGTAGGTATCATAAATAAGACTTTAGTTATATGATATCTTACAGTATTCTCTTTTCTTACTTCTTACTGAAATCATATTATTAACTCTTTAAGACGTCAACATGGAGACGTCACATTTATGACATTTTAATGCGATTCTTTCTTCTCACCGCTGTAACTGCTTGTGTTTGATATAAGAAGCGGCGAAGTAGAATTTAGAGCGTGCTTCATACCAAAGGCTTTGTTATCTATGCTTCATACCAAACGGTCTTAGACCTAGGTAAACGGCTACCCGATACTGACGAGCTCCAAAAGAGGGAAACAGGCCATCTATCGGTGCCGGTGAAGAGCACGCTTAAATTTAAACAAAAGTGAGACGAAGTAATCGTAATTCCTAAAATAAGCGAATACGAGCAAATTAATAAAATGATTTTAATAAAATCCATTTAACAAATTAATAAAATAAGACTTAATTAAGACGTCATGCTGTCTGGGCCTTTGGGAATACCACTTTTCAATTCTGTAAAGCTTGTCCATTAGTCCCCAATAAAGCATTTCAGGATGGCCAGAGGATGTCTTACTTAGGACGTTCTGGGGACCGACGATTTGGTAACATCGAATGTCCCTGGAACGTCCTGGGGAAGGTTCAGGACCTGATTCGGACGTACTCGGAACTTACTAATGTCTGATACAAGATATACTTTAGACGTTTTTAGTACTTCTTTGTGCTATCTGGGTTATGACAATATCTCCAAAAAGACTCTTAAAAACTTATTTGCTGAATTCCATGGAAAAGTTTTA